CCAATAGGACTTGGCACAAACTCATTCGGCCACTTGCAAAATGGAAATTTTGAACATGCACCACGGCCATGCCAACCGGAAGATGTATATGTATATAGGGTGTGTGTATATGTAGCTGGGAAACCAACAAGGAGTTTCAATTGAAACCACTAGGAATCAAAGATGTTCATACAAAAGGAAGCCACTAGCAACCAAAAGGAACCTAAAAGGGAACCAGCAGGAATCACACAATCAAAAAGGAAATCAATAGATCAGGAATGCACAAATAAAGTCTATATGAAAGGGAATCACTTGGAGTCAACAGGCATGTAAAAGAAACCAAAAGGAATCCAAAGGATATTTAAAAAGGAATCAATCGGAACCAGATAAATTTAGCAAGAAATCAATAGAAATCAAAAGGAGTTTAAACGGAAATCAATAGGAATCAAAAGGAATCCAAAATGAATCATCAGGAATTCAAAGGGAAATCAAAAGGAATTGTTAAAGGAAACCGATAGGAATGAACTGGAATTTACAAGGAAACCAATAGGAACCAACAGGAACTAATTTCCTAGCATCCAAAGGACGTTCTAGGCTTTGTATACTGCATGAGGCTTTGGGATCAACATGCACTTAGAGCATAGCTGCCATCCACGTACGGCATCAGGAACAAATTTGGGTGTGATGCTCTAAGGGCCTGTTCTAAATTACTCACGTTCTAAGTTCGAATGTTCTAAAATAGCCGTTTCTTTGATCTTTTAAAGCAGTGGATTTCATATATTGAAGAACTCCAGATGTTCTTCTAAGGGTTGCTGCATCACTATCTATTGATTAAGGAGCTGATCGCTTTGGGACGCTGTCAGTTTTGAAGACGAACTGGAGAAACCGATACTTAATACTTATCAATAACCTCAGCAAACCAGTCATTGGCTTAGTAGGATTGACAGATCTCCGAAGGATTTAAGACCACCCTTTTTACGGCAATAACAAAATTAGAATCCCCCCAAACATAGCATAATAGAGAACCCTTAAAACAAAACATGATGTCAACATTTTTTCTCGGAAAACTTAGCATTCTTCATTCATTGTCACATCTAGTCACGCGAGTGCGCGGGTGTCAACCGGAACCTACGACCAGAGGAATCATCATGATGAACTCCGAGACCTACGACCAGAGGCTCCAGGCCCGTGGGCTTCTGGGGCCGTCGATGGTATCGTGAGGGGGTCAAACAGGCTGCAACTTTGGACGTTGGGGATCTGGGCCAAACCGCTTTGGACGTTGGGGATTTGGGCCAAACCATGCCAGAAACACTTTGCGTGATCGCAAGAATTTGTTGAATTGCCATTCGCAATTCAAGTCGAAGTGGTAGTGACAAGGCTTGGAATGAGACCCTGAAACAAGGGCTGAAACATGCGGGAACTACGAAATGAACAACAGTTCACGGTCGAATGTCATTATTGCATATTATTGCTTTCAAACTTCAAGGCCACTGTTGCCCCAACCTCAACGGGTTCATAGCTCCACTGTTATTTGCAGACTCTTAGTATCTACGGGAACATCTCTGTAGCATTCTGAGTCCTTTCTCATTCAGCATTGAGGGAGATCGGAGTTGAGCGAAAAGCATGTCAATCAGCGTCCGGCGGCTGAAACTCGAAGCACGCTCTCATATATTCAATGACTCCCAGTACATGGTGGGTTGCTTCCCAGAACAGCATCTGAGGTTGTTGAGGTGCTCCATTCTATACAATACAGTGTTCGACCTCTAGAAACAAGCAGAAACATAGTTCTGCACATTTCAGGGGGGACCTTGCACAGATCATCCACACATCTGCAGTGGTCAGGATGCGGGGTCGGCCAAGGGGATGACAGATGGCCCTGGTCTCCAGAACCCGGACAGAGGATGGGACCTCACTCCAAAAACAGGGTCCACTTGAATCAGAGGTTCCATGTTTCGAATGGCATGGTAACTGCTGGAACTGCACGTCGGGGGGTGGTTTGGATGGTCCATGAGTGAGTTTAGGTGGATCATCGACACCATTCCCCGGCACATCCCCCGCTGGTGCTCCCGAACCCACCGCCGCACATCCGTCCGGCGGACTGGAGGTCATGACCTGTCCCAACCAGGAGCGAGGCGGAGGAGCTGAGGCAGGAATGCCATGTACACGGAGGAAACCCCGATCCCCAAGCAATGGATGTTGGTCTTTTTTGGTACTTAGGTGTTTTTGGGTCTATTGATTCTATGTGTCATGGCAATGGACTTGTCCTTCTTCCAAGGGGGTCGTTGCCTGGGAGGTCTCCCTATTTCAATGCACCGAGTGTCGGACGATCTGAGCGTTGTTTGGGTCGAACCCCCCCGAGTTCCTTGGAGCCGATCGTCCCATGACCTTCACGGAGTTGGTTCCTTATGATAATCTATGATCGGCTCAGCTGCATGACTTGATGCTGCATCCTTGAGCCATGGAGCAGTAGCTGCCAACTTCCCCAGACCTGTCACTTGAAAAGATTAAGTTTCACTAAAGTTCCTTTCATACATCTCATTACTCACATGACTCACATGTCCACCGATTGCACGTGATCGGTTTTTTCTCGGCTGTCCGTGACTGCTACGACACGACTGCGTGTGTTCTTTTTGGGGGGCGGAGAATGTGCGCAGATGAGGCGCCCCTCCTTTTTGATGCGGGGAATGTGTGGGGCTGCAAAAGGATGCACAAAAACGATTCTTTCCGTGAACTGGAGGGAAAACTGGCGCATGATCCACCGGACATCCAACGGAGCATGACGTTTGTGCCACTGATCTGGCAACAGACTCCTCCAGCTCGCAGGCTCGCATCACCTCGCATCCTCCAACGACCGGCAAAATCGGTTTCCTGAAAGTCCCATCGACTTCGCTGGAACGATTGCAGGTTCGTGTTCCAGCTGCCATGGCTGCTTGGACGCAACCGTTGCGTTCGTCCTTGGCTTAGACACTTGAACGGTGGAGTCTCCCGTCGTCGGATGTGAGAGACTTTTCAGAGGGATGGACTTGATGTCGTTGACATTCAACCCACCAACATGATCGACACGCAAATACATCATGCAACATCATGGCGAGATCGGCCTGCAAGACCAGTTTCGACATCAGCGAACTCCGGTTCTGTTTGATTCTGCTTGCTTAGCACCCTGTTCGTGGGTCCCAGCACCTTTTCGTGCCCATTCGTGAGCCATCACTCTCCATCCAGAATGTGAGGGGGGGGTTCAGCTGTGTTGAACCGTTTGAGATCAGCGTCGGCGTAGGCAAGTGCCAAAGGCCAAAACCAGCTGGGCATCCATTCACCGACCCATATCTTGGGTCTGCCCCTGTAAACCTGTGACAGTAAATTTAAACAAGCAAATTACTATTTTAAGAGAAGGGCCTGCAACCTACCCATCATCATCCACTGGTCCCTGGATAGAGCCGCCATATCGCCATTCCAGCTCCTTTGACCCTGCGACCACCCGAGATCTCATGGAGCGATGGGCAACTTCTCTTGCAGCGGCTCCGACAAGGGCCCTTGGCCGGGACGCTCTTCACTCAGCACTGAGCCGAGCGAAAAAGTTACATGGAAGAAGCTGCCATCATCAAGGTGTGACTACCAGGAGTGGACGGGGTGCCGAACTTGGAGGATGCCCACTGCACTCAAAACCACGGTTACACGGGACTGCTGGTGCATGAGACTTTGCACAAATAATGTGTTGTGACATGACACTTGGCCGGTGGATGGAGGTTCCAAAGACTCACTAAAGAACAGTGGCAGGGCCAATGTGGATTGTTGAGTGCACATCCTGGAAAGCACACACAAAGCACGAGCGCATAGGAGCGCCCAGATTGACTTCATCGCCTTGATGAACATATCTCGTATTTTTTGAGGTGGCTCGCTTTTCGAGTCACTGTTACAATCCCCTTTGGAACGCCACAATGTCTTGAGTGGCCTCTTCTAAAATGTCCCTAAGGGACACCAAACACTGCAAGACTTGATGAAATGCCACCTGTTTGCTCGCTCCGCCACCGGGCTCGAGCAGATGGAGATGCCCTGAGCGTTTGCGCGGCGCATCGCGGCGCCGGGGGCGCTGCGATTGGAGGAGCATGGTTGGGATGGTTTCAGGGTCGCTGATCGCGGGGGTTGGCTTCTTACAATCGAACGAGTTTTTTAAAGTACATAAACTGACTAGAACATCTCAAGGACTTCTGACTTCTGTGAAGAGAAACATGTTAACTTGTTTTTGTTGGTTTCGTTTAGTTTGTGAGAGAAAGCAAGGGGTGTCTTCCGGACCTTCGAACCCGGTTGGAGATCTTGGGTTTGGGAGCTACAGTTGCAGCATTCTTGAGCATTTCACATTTGGGGCCCTGGGGTGGCTGTCAATTCGACTCGCCAACGTCTTCGCCCGCGAGAGAAAGGCGCAGCAGAAATGCTGGGGCGCCTCAGAGCGACGTGGAGGGGGGCGACAAACTTGAGTCCAAGTGAGGAGACGTCCACAGATCGAAGTAGACCAAGCTTTTGGATTCCCCTGCTAAGGTCATATTATTGTGTAATATATAAACCTGGGCCCTCCAAAGTACCTTAGAACATGGGACATGACCCTATAATAACAGGTACTTGTACCCATTGTCTGAAGTACTTGAGACTCCAGGTATCTGTCTAATTCCAGGAAAGTCGCCGCATCCCCTTTAACGAACGGACACTACCTCCAGTCCAACTTTGCCCCTGAACTATTCCTCCTGACTGAAGCAACATGTGCTTCGACCAAGGCGTAAACGACCTGCAGAAGAGGAGGATGCGCAGCCTTTGTTGGATCCTGACGTGCCCAGGATGCACCTTGATGGGACTTCCTTCAAATGTGTTTTGTTGAAAGATGCTTCATGATGCTTATATTGTTTGTGTGATTTCTGGGTGGTGATTTTGAGCACCTCCCTTTGTCCAAGCTTGTCCACTGACTATAGACTCGAACATCCTCAAGGACTTGTGACTTGTGTGTTTGTGTTTGGGTGCTTCATATATACCAAATGCGTGTCCCCGTCCCATTGACCAATCCTGCGGAAGCTTTGCAGCATTTGGCAGATCCTTTAAAATGGATGATGGTCCAGGACATCTTCGGGGACTCGGACTTTGTCTACTTTGAGCGAAGCACTCTAGGGGCTGGCATCGCTACTAAGTAGGAGCAAGGACGCTACTAGGGCCTAGGGGCTCCTGGCCTTACTACTAGGAACAAGGATGCTACTTCAGGGACTCGGAGTCAAAATCACAACTCACAACAGCTCTTTCTTTTTTTCAGGGCCGCAGCTGTTGCCACTGCAACCCTGGCCCTGGCCTCAGGAAGATGACGGCTACGAAGACTACGTGCCGATCAAAAAGCGTAAGGCACTACCAGTCGCTTCGTGGAGCTCAGGGCGCCCGGATTCGGTTGAAAGGGGCGACCGCTCAGTGCAGTGGCTGGAAGCACCAAGGCGTCCACAAAACAGAGAAGAAAGAGACTTTGTAGCCTCATGATGCCTCACGTCCTCCCCCAGATGGGCCCCAGCTTGTTGTTTTCGATTCGGCCCCTAGCCTGCAGAGGCTGCCATGAAGGAGAAGCTCGTCTCGGACAGGTGATCTGGGTGGGGTCGCGAGGTTGGCCTGGCAGAAGTGAGTCTCGGACCGGGTGGCACAGCTGACCGGGTGGCAGCTAAGTGAAGAGCCTAGGACCAATCGGTCCAAAGGAAGTGGGGGCACGACAATCTTAGATGATACTGGGCACTTCGTTGTCTTTTTTATGTGCAGGTGACTAGAATTGGAAGATGGTTGGGACACCCTGAAGTGGTTCCGGCTGGAGCTGGGTGCCAACGAGGTCCGGAATTTTTGTGGACCCCACTTGCTCCAGAATGTCCAGACTCACTGCTTCACGCCATCCTGGCCACAGCTATGGTGCCAGTGCTCGTACAGAAGTGCAAGTCATTGTCAACAACATTGGGAACCACTGATGATGCAAAACCCGGGCATAGTGTCGCGCAAACATTCCGGGGTTGGCTTGTGAGACAAACCGGAGCTGCGATGGTGGGATCTTTGGAAGCCCTTCACTGACTTTGTAGGTACAGTAGGTTTCACACAGCTTTTCTGAAGGACTTGGTTCATTTGGAATCTGTGACATGCTGACATGAAAAAAACCTTGAGAGGCCGAGACCTCCACCCGCCATACACCCAGAACCACCGCTCTGGACCTCTGGAACCTCTCCAGGCAGAAGGAGAGACGAGAAGAAGCCGAGCGCGTGATGCGGGAACGGCTCGCCGAGGTGGGACCCTCGTGATGCGGCGGAAAACGCCTTTGGGCTGCTCCTGTTCCGTCGCCGGGGAAGACGAAGACGCATTCCCGGAATTGGAACATGTTGTTTTGTGTTAAGGACTTGGGATTCTTGTGGCTTGTTTGCACGCCATGACATGGTGCATCTCGAGATATCTCGAGCACTGATACTCATGGAGCCGAGAACGCCGGCGATTTTTCCCTGTGGATGCAGTTTGCTTGGAAATGAGGAAGTCGGGTCGTTTTGGGGATGCCTTAAGTTTGGAGCCAGGGAAGTTGGGGTACCACATGAGTTTTCATACGTCACCTTCAGCACCCATGGCCCATATGTATATAATTGTATATATTTAGATGGATAGATAAAGATAAAATAAGGACATGGTCCGCATCCGCAGAAGTTCAAGGTGAAATGCGGTATCCCGCCCGCCGCCCCCAATGGACACCAACAGGTAGAGTAGTGTAGTACAGTGCTGGTAGCTGGCACAAGCAAAGCGACATGGACATCCCAGTTCTATCTCCACCGGAGCCGGGCACAGGAGAAGAAGAAGCGGGGCATTGCCCGGCTTGCTCAGCGGGGTTGCTGGAACGATGTGTGGATGTTGACCAATATCGCAGCTATGACCGGAGTTGTGCTTTTGTTGACTTTGAGGTCTATGCGGATTCTTTGGGGATGGCGGTAGGGCCGATGATGGATCCAAGCACCCGAGATTGGGACAAGATGGCCAAAGGATTTGTTCGACCCAAACAAGGATTGGATGGTATTATATAATATTATATGCCTACTCTTTGAAATCACCAAATGTAGACTCTTGATTAACACACACACCCAATTGAATTGAACCACCTCTTCATGTACATTATTTGAGTCGGAGTGTTGTTTTCGCATTTAGCTTCACCTAAAGACCAGTGATTCCACCGGCCTGTCTCCATTAAGGCGAACTCGTTACTGGCGGTCTCCGCGAAGCTGAAGGCTGAAGAGGAGGCCAACAAGGCGCTGGTGTTCGCTGGAAGGTGTGCTCGCATAGGCAATCGGCTGCCATATTATGCCATAGTCAGGCAGGTTTTGTTGGCACCACAGTCAGGCTGGTGCTTCTGGAGCAGTTCCATTTTTTGTGCCGGTGATGTTGCGCACCGGACACCCGGCATGCTGGGCACGGTCGGACAGGACTCCAGAGAACAAGCCATCAAGGAGAGCATCAAGAATGAAGAGGAGCTGCTGGCGGTGCCGTGGGAGAAGCAGATCCTAGCTGCCCCTAGCAAGTATACAGCTGTCTACACTCCGACTCACTAGCATGGACGAAGTGGAGCATAGTGGAACATATCCTTGGGAGACTCCTCCACTTGGAGCCACGCCGTTTGAAGACCCGCTGCTGACCATTTCGGCGGCCAACGGCTTCCCTTAGCGAACTGCCGTGTCTTGCCTTGAATCGTTGGCTTCATGCCCATCGTTGCGACATGATGGAAGCTGGGGCAGCCCTTTGCATGGATTGTCCCCGTAGATCAGCATCATTCAGCATCATTGGGGTCTGTCCGAACTTACCTGTAACGGTCAGCAAACAACTACCACTATTTTAGAGAAAGGCCTGCAACCTAACTATCATCATCCACTGGGCCCTGGTAAATCCGGATAGAGCCATATGGCCATATCGCTCACTCCAATAACAATAGGAGATACTGTATATTTCCCTACAAGTCCAAAGGACAAGTTAAACCTGGTACTTAACCTCATTGAGTACTGCTTTGCAGGACCGGATCCAATCAAATGAGGCCGCAAGACCTGTAGATTTTCCTTGAATTGTTTCCCTCAAGTCTCCACTTTTGTCCTCATTCCTCCCAAGCTTTTCAACCGCATCCGACCAGCAGCAGAGGTCAGGCATTTTCAGCAAGGTCACAATAGCAATCACTAGGATCTAAGAGGTACCGGTATCACAGTTGCATGTGTCACAAGTCTGACTTGCCATGTTCTGACCCTTGCTCCGAAGGGGCCGTCCGCATGCTCCGCATGCTCACGCATGGTCCTGGCATCACCCTTCCGGCAGGATCAGCTCTTGGAGCAAGTCCAGCTTCAGATGAGCACTCCTTTGATGTCCGTAGGGCCTCCAAGACGTCCCAAAATCCCCTGAAAGATCCTGAAAAGACGAAGACGGTCGGATGGTTTGTGAGGGTTGAATTGCAGAGGATTCTTTCATGGAGCTGAATATAAGTTTAAGTCCGATACCAAAAAGGGAGACATTCTCCTTCTTGCAGCCAGATGCATCCACCTTGTAATATATCGTTTGTTTGATGCATGTGCATCGAATCCCGGAGTCGGCAATTTCCCTAAGACCCTGGCAAAGGGATGCAACGGGAAAAAGGTCGGTGACAGGTAAGTAGAGACAGATGCTTGCCTACATGGGTTAGGATGCTCAATTTGATCAATTTGTCGTTTCAGATGGTTGTTGGACCGAATATGTGGGCATGTGGGTCAACAGCATTGCCAGGTACGTGAACGCGCCAAAGGTATCATGTACACCGAAAGGACTGCCATCCGTCAGTCTGTATGCTGGGCGCTTTTCTCCGACTTGAATGGCACTGAAACGAAATGTCCAAGATCTCTTCAGCTTATGCTTGCATGCAGAGAGGCAAGATCAACTAGGATTCAGATCAAGGCGTTTCATGAAGGTAAGCTCGTCAATCTAGCCGGACTCGCCCGGTTCCCCTTCATGTTGCCCTACTTCGTATTAATTTGATGTATTAAGGGAATCGGGCTGTGTCAGGTGAACCTAAACATCCCTGCACGCCTTAATTGCAGTGACCCACAACTCCTAATGTCATTACCCCGCAGTATACCTATACCTACACAAATTGACTGAGAGAGAGAGAGAGAGCGCTAGAGATCAAGCAACAAGAAGCACACACAATACGAACCAGAATCAGAATGCACCATGGCCTCTCAATTCAAGGTTAGCTTGGGAAGAGCGTAGTGGCAGCACGTGGCTGCAGAGTACTTTCCCATGTTGTCCCATGCCTTTTAAAGTTTAAAGTGTTTGTTGGTTTGAGCGTGCATGCGATTTACCGTCACCACTGTTTGATATTGTGTCGATTGGGGTTCGAGAAGTTTTGGGTACGTTTGATGGCTCCTTTGTGCAAATTCGTTCAAGTATTTTTAAACATCACACCCCCTCACTGTGATGTGGGAGCGAACTGTGCGTTCCCGAAGTCTGTTCCTGTGCCGTTCTCTCCAGCGACCGCCCATCATTGGATCCTGAAGGGAGTAGAGTTCCACACATTCCTGAGCTCAACTTATTGTTGTTTCTGTGAGCCTTCGGGCCCTGAAAGTATCCGTTCTACTTGTAGAGTTGTAGCAGGTTCTGAGAAGTCCAGAACTTCTGTTATGTGGGGACTCCCTATCTAAATATATACATATTCCAATCATAAGCCTTTCTGGCTGTGACCGCGGCAGACTCAGACTCTGGAACGCTAGGATGCCAGCCATCGGCGAGTGGCGGCCCATCAAGAAATATCGTGGTGCCCTGAGCCGGTTCTATGGCGTGAGTGCCGTAGAAGCCAGTGGTGAGTCATGAGTCCCGAAGTTGCGTGGTGCCAAGTGGTTGGCTTCAGCAAGAGGGCTCCTCAAAGAATGCGTGCACAATAGTGTGCACGATTTAAAGAGTTCTAGGTTGCTCACAAAGAATCAGAAACAGAAGAAACGGTCGAAATCGCATCGTCTGGACGATCGATCATGTCATTTCTTGCTCACCGACTCTGGGACTGGTCCCAGAGGGGCGCTTTTGGGTCGGCCAATACCAGACAGGACCAAGAATGTAGACTCTTGTTTAATACACCCCCCCATATGAAGAGGATTTTCATTTCAAGGGGTGGGTGTATGAATCAAGAGTCTACATCACTGGACCATTGAAACCCTTGGAACCGTTCGCAGGGCCACGGCATCGGCCATGGTTGTTTTATCCTGGTTCGGCGCTGGTTTTCAGGTGACCTCCCAGAAGAGGAGAGGGCCTCCATTAGGGAGAAGTACTTCATCGAGGCAGCTGCAGATGGTGGCATTGGTGAACCAACCGTTTAGTTCATGTTGTGAAGAGGCTGAGGTGAAGGCAGGACACTGACGGGCTGCATCGCTCACATGGCGAGCGCTCGTAGAGCACTGACGGGACACACTGCCCTTGTGATGTAGAGCTATACATGTATACTGTATAGCTAGTCTAGAACTAGGGTGTGTCCCATTGCCTGCAACAGTCGGTAAACGATTGTTAGACTTCTCAATACTGATCACCATAGAAAGGTCGTAATTACATGTCTTTACTCACCATCATCCACTGTTACGTGGCACATCATGATACACCCAATCGAAACGCCATGTCTTGCCGCAGCTTGGCTCAAGCCATCCCACCCACGGCCCGGTGAGAGCGAACGACACCGGAGAGCGAATGGCGGGCATCGAGGTCCGCATCGATGCTGTGGACGTCGCGCACGTGCCGAAGGACACCTACGTCTCCATGCGCGTGGGCGACTACCAGAAGCAGTCGCGTTCCTGGGTTCGCGGAATCGGTGAGTCGCCAGGCGTTCTCGGAACCACACATATCACGCGAAGTCGTCCCTTTCTTGGTTCAAAAGCTGATTCGGAACCTGGGCCTGGTGCATGCCCCAAGTTCCAAGTGGTCCAGCATAGAAGCATCCCAGATGTATCCTAGGAATTAGACATTTCATGATCCTCACCTCCTACACTAGACGATTTGCACACTTTGTCTCACCTAATCGCATCTATGTAAGCGGCGATATTTGTTTAGGTTCCGATGGGAGAAGGCAAGATTTGACAGCCGCGCCTGGCGGGGGAGAATTATTCGATAAATTGTGTGGATGCACCAACAGGCGACGCAAAGTGAGAGGAAGTCTGGAGCAAGTCTGATACTGTAAGTATTTATAAGTGACAACTTTGACAACCTTTCCCAGCAACCCTCTGAAGTCAGAGCTGGTTGAACTACGTTGGACCACATGGAAGTGGATTCAATCACTCTTGGAGAGATTAAGAATTCAATCTGTCCTCTGACCCTCTGAATTCTTACGACTATAAATTGTATACAGACCCATTACGCTGACTCTTCTCCACTTTGATGAACTTCAGCCGAGTGTTCTTCGACTATGACACAGGTCTTCCGTTCAGGTGCAGGTAGATCCTGAGTTTGGGTCCAGCGGAGTCGAGCAACACCCCACATTGATTGCGATCCCAATGGTGTTCCACCAGTGGCCAGTGATTCCACCGAGGCTTTGGGTCTGCAAAGACCTATCGTTTCCCCCACACAGAGGATCAACGCTTTGTGCCGCGGCTCATGCATGTGGTGTGTTGAGAAGTGAGAGGCAGAGATAGGCATGCAGAGAGTGACACCAAAAGGCACAGAAAAAGGAGGAATATTATGATGATAGAATTCTCAGGCATCCAAACCAACTGAGTCAAGTGAACGTGTGTGGGAAAGAAACACCCTACCCACGTGGCTTGACCTTTGATGGGCAAAATCTGCGGCATTTTGGATGACCTCTTGTTTGATTAATAGCTGCAAGGGACGAGGGGTAGGTTGCATGAATTTGTCGATCAACCCTCTTTGCGATTGCGATCCATCTTTGGGTATTTGGTGTTTTGAGTGGCACTTGATTGAGGGGTAGAGGACGCTACGTTCGGGGCTCCTGGCATCGCTACTAGGCATCAGCTCCCCTGGCCCCGTGGCCGCCGTGCACCACACCTGGATGACCACTATTCCTGGATCTTCCAAGTCGGCAACAGCCCTTTTCATCTATCAAACCAGTCCCAAAGAAGGCAGAGATCTTCTATAGCTATCTATAGCTACTGTAGTTGGAAGATCCAGCTTCGGACCTCCTCGGCCAGCGGAAGATCCAGGCTCGTCTCGAAGTCTTCCACCGTGTGGGCCATTTGACCGTGAACTTGGACAACTTGTCTGGGCCGGTGGAGGTCCCGGTGGATGCTTGGACGAAGCCTTCGACTAGTCGCCGTCGCCTCGGCCAGCGGGAGCTCGGAGAGCGCCAGGTTTTGCTGGGGGGTATAGATTTAAATTTTTCCGGGTGTGAATCCCCTTGCGGTGAAAATGTTCCTCGAGGGCCGGCCCGCCTCCATGCAAAACTGGGAGAGCGCCTCCAGAGGAAGTATGAGAGTCATGATTCATCATGATTCTGATTCTGACCACTGGATTTGTCAGCTTCCCTGGGCCCTAGCTGCTAAACCTTTGACATCCGTTTTGCGCTCGGACAAGTCGAAAGAAGGTGGTGGTGTGAATCAAACACCATCCCCACGGATTGGGATGGGGGGCCCTGCAGTCCACCGGTTGTTCCACCATGCGGTCGGCGCCCGACTTGGCTCGGTGCTGAACGGTCAAGTGCACTGCACATTCCAGGTCCAAACCGTTGGAATCCAGGTCCAAACCATTCGGAGTGGATGGACGAAACAAAGGGCTCCCGGCTTGGAAGGCAGCTGTTGATTAAGAGAACCCCCTCCCAAAATTTGTTTTCTGGGGCTGGACCATGATTTTGCATGCACAGGACGCCTTTGGAATGCCAGCAGTTTGTGACTTTGACCTCAGCAAGGCCATTTAGCAAAGCCAATCTCAAGCGGGCACAAGTTGATGGCATCCAGTAGTGAGGTTCATGAGGTTCATTACAAACGCATCAGAAGAGGACACACCATTCCAGCCGCACACATTGATGGCATCCACACGTTGAAGCTTTGCTTTGTAAGAGGTTTGGGGAGGCCGTTGCCATGAGTTTGTTCGGTGGGCCAGATGCCATCAGAGTTGAATACGATGCACGACGTTCAGATCTGCGAAGGACTTTTGGGTGACTGCCCTCGGGTACCGTAACTCATCAAGATCTTGTAACCTTGTACAGGTCAGGTCACCAGTGCTCTCGCTCTTGCCATGTGTGTCGTAACTTGCTTCCTTTTGTGTGAACAATTTGTTTGTCTCTGGGTCTCTCCCTCTCTCTCCCTCTTTCCTTTTGTTCCTATCTTCAACTTAATGTACCGTCACTTCTGTTTTCGTCACCTGCTGGCTTCCGCACTCTTTTTTTTCTCTCTCTCTCTCTCTCTTCTAATTCTCATGCCTCGCGGAAATTCTTTTCCTGAGGAGCTGGCCGAGACCAATTATTTGCCGATGAACCTTTGCGTCCTCCAAGACGGCTCCAAAGACGGAGTCCCCGCAAAGGTCCGCGCCAAAGGTGCCCTGGCGGAAGGAACGGGGTGGTTTAGAAACATCGGTGGGTGGGAAACATTGAGGGAGCAAAAGGGCAGGTTACCAGCCGCTGGTGACTCTTTGAGATGACAAAGGTCGACAAACTGTATTTCAGAACAGCCTCGACCCATCTCGACCCTGTGATTGTTCTATAATTATCGTTCTAATTGTATTATTACTATACTGTAATACTTGCGTGGGTTTGGGGCCCCTTCCAGAGCGCTTTGACAACAGGCTTTCAACAAGGAGCGAACTGTGCCAGTTGGAGTCCACAAAGCTTTATTTTGAAACCAGCGCCTGATTGAAAATGGTTGCATCCCACACATCTAAACAGGCATAGTGACTAGTGGAACTACATCGAACAACCATTAGGACCATGTTTTGGGGGGTCGCAAGGCTTTAAGGTCTTGATGAAGCCCCTGGAGGGGCAAGTGTTAGTGAGCTGGCAGCTGAAGAGGCCCAGCAGCGTCCAAGATAGAAGTATTTATGTTGGACCCCGATCAATGGCAAGAAAGTGAGCCGATTCTGTCAGTGAGACCTCTACCAGATATTTTGTTGTTGATGTTTTTTCATTTTGTGCTGGCCCATACAGGCTCAGCCAATATCCCCTGTGTTGAGTCTCAGGTAAGGTGGACGCAGCCCAGAAATACCTGGCCGAGCATCATGTGGAAGAGGCGGCGGGGGCGGCACGGGCTTTGTGCGGGCTAAAAGCACGGGCTGCGAGGGGTTTCAACGGTGGCAGAGCCCGAACAATCCTTTGTCGGACTGTTTGGGCTGTTGGGGTGTCCACACAGATTGACATTTCCGTTTCGTAACGCCTAGGAACCTGAAACCTCCTTTTGAGGGGTTCACTTCGTTCATACTTGGGTTGATCCAGACACATCAAACCCATGCATTTTTGTGATGTTTACAATGGCGCCTGGGAGCCTGAATTCGATCCGCGGAAGCGGTGGCATCGTTTTTCTTCTAAAGCAGAGGGAGCCTCACCCCGCCTGGGACCCTCTGCTTTGCGCTTGGCCTTCCGCTCCCGGCTCCCCAAAGAAGCACATGACCATGTACCCTCTCGGAATCACTAGCGTGGAAGATCCTGAAAGTCACTGAAAGTGGAAAACCACCAGTTTGTAAATGAATCGGACTTCAAACAATAGGAACAATGGACCCACAAAAAGGTCCAGACCGCCGCGGTCGTCGACCACCAGCGCTCGGCAGGTGATCGCGGATGCCATCCGCGAGGTGATCCACGAGAAGCCTGCAGACCCCTGCAGCTTCTTGTCGGCTCAGATTCTCAAGCACGCCAGCATCAAGACGCTCGGTTTTTGGAAAGACACATGAAACAACGCGTCTTTTCTGATCCTTTATTGATCGGAGAAATCGGTCACTGGTTTTGCGGGGGATTTGAGTGTCGAGTTGCGTGAGGGTCATGGCGATACCGACTGATTGACTTGGTTGGTCGGTCGGTCAAGTGACTGGTCGGCCTCCAGGTTGAACGACCTATCCCTAGTTGATTGTACATAATTCTGAATCTCAAGCAATCACCTCTCTTTTTCTGCAAAAATCTGAGGGGAAGTCAATAGAGGTACTGTAGCTCCCCCAAGACGGTCCTAGTCTCAGTAGGAGGTGGTAGCAGTAATAGGGGTGGAAGTAGTTGGAGTAGCAAAAGCTAGGCAGAAGTAAAGGTAACCAATTGCTGAGCAATAGAAACCTAAGCTCAAATATTTTCCACAGGGCTCCAAGTCCTCGCAGCATTCCAACCTACTCAGCGTTGCTCATGATTGGTCCCACTTGGCAGTTTCGG